TCTCTTGGGTAGCGGGTGCCAAGTAAGCCCAGGAAGTCATGAGGCCAATGGGGATTGAACCCATGACCTCCTGAATGCCACTTGCGAGCCTTACCAACTGAGCTAGGCCGCTGGATTGCCTGTCGCCTTTTGTTGATGCAGGGAGGGGACTGGATATCGTTTTTTTGTATCTTGTATTGTTTGTAGTACTTTGTACTTGGTCGACCTATGATTTGCTTCATTGTGGAGGCAGTAGAGTATGGCTTACCCCTTGAGTGTGCCGGCGCGCGGTCGGGCTACCTTTGAACAAGACCGGTATGGTTCTCCGATTTTTTGTCCTTTAGGTGAGATAATCCGGGATTGGGCCCAGTTTTAGCCGTACGGGCTTGGAGTTTGTTGGATAGGTACGTGGGCCGTACCGGGATTTTTCAGGTAGGCTCGAACCTGCGACTTTTCGTAGACGAAGACTGTTTCTATAGTGTGTTGTTTTGTTTTGGGGTGTAAATGGAGTCCAATGCAATTGTTTGTTCTCTTCAGGTCTGACGGCCTGCGATACCTATTGGTGTCCGGAGACCGGTAGGGTTGGCAGACAGAAGTGGGTTAGTGGTCAGCTAGGTTAGTACAGGAATGTCGGTGGAATCCCCCTGATGATGACGGCGTGGCGGCCGTCGAGATGCGTCGGGGACGCTAGCAGCAATTCTTTCAATCTGTTTTTCATTACATCAATTGCACTCTGCAAATTTCTTTGTCCATGATTGCTTCAACCTGTGGTTTCACTTTGTGATTATCACGTGTGTGCGTTCATGACTCTGTGACTTCGTACTTGCGATTGCGCACGATAACTCGCCTGGAGTCCACTTTACTAGGTTTGAGTGACCGTGTTATTCTCACATTGACATTAGTATGTCAACTGACGACCAGGTGTTGACTTGTTGTGCTTACATCGGTGTGACACCTCCAGCGAAGAAGAGGGTGAATTGTCGACTTCCCGTTCTCAAGACTTGTTTCTGACGAGACGACCCCACGCGATGGCGGGGGATGAGAAGAGAAAGGATCGGCCTGGCGGGGATAGTCAGCGGAGGGATGACCGTCGCACCGAGGATCGGAAGGATGATGACCGGAGGGACAAAGACCGCAGGCGGTACCGAGCGCCAACATGCTATAATTGCCATGAGCCAGGGCACTATGCGAATCAGTGCCCTAAAAGAAATCGTCGATGCCATGTCTCTGATATACCGTCGTCGTCTTTTGACTCCCGAGGGGGCCGATCACCACGAAGATGGGATTATCGACAAGACATATCACCAGGTAAAGAAGCGATGAGCAGCACAGTTGTCGAACTCGAAAGATCTGTTGTTGTTATGAAGGACTTCTTTGAGGAAGCACGGCTGAGGAAGGAAGCTAAGGAACGACGGAAGATTGAGAAAAGGGAGGCAGAGGAGCGGGAGGCAGCGGAACAAGAGAAGGCGGAACAAAAAGCTAAGAAGAAGATGGAAAAGATGAGACGAGTTGCCGAACTCGAAGCAGAACGTAGGGCTGAGTTTCGCAAGGATAATGACATCCATTTAGCGATTAGGTTGTCAATGAGCGAGACGGAGGAGAACTTCTCCGCCAAAATGAAGTGTGCCATTGAGCCGTTGAAAGAGCTAAAGAAAGGGAAGAAGAAGGTTACCTATGCATCTGGGAGCGATTCGGCGTCGGAAGAAGCCAGCGACACCAGTGTGACACAAGAGTTAAGGGAGCAGACGGGTAGGCTGTTCATCTCCGAGAAGCGAAAGAGAGGCCCCGGACAAGCGGTGGGAGACAGCCCACCAATGGAGTTGCCCCCGAAGCTCACACCAAAGAAGGGAGCCCTTAAGCCTGCGAAGCTGACGGGAAGACTTACTAGAGCTAAGAAGATGGTGAAATTGCCCGAATCAGCCAAACGGAAGACACCTGTCAGGACACCGTTATCTGCCAGATTGAAGTCTGCTACTCAGGCGAAGACTCCAACGCAGGTGGTT